TCTGAATACCACATTGTACTGTAATAGCAGCTGTCATTGATGAGCTCTACTAACACATGATGAGAGAATTAATGATAAAAAATGCTTTTCTTAGACTTCCTCTTTTGCACGATATAAGCAGGAAAGAGAAAACTGACTTCATTATGCAGTGTGATAGTCAGTTGATGCATGTGACACTCTTTCTATCATGAAACTTGTTAGTATGGTTTATTGTAACTGTGTTAAAGAAATTCATTTTGCTCTGAAATCATAGAACTTAATGTTCAGTTTCTTTGGTACTGAAATGTTTTGATTTCTCAGCTGTATTTTGTCATTTCTCTCATATTCCACTGACAGATATGTTCAGGAATTTCATTGACAGGCGTTTGAATTTTGCTCTCAAAAACTCGAACACTGTGTTATTATAGTTTTTATTTTTCAGCCACCTTGTACTCACAGAAGTGAATAATCACCTTTACTAGACATGATTCAACTCTGGTTGCAGAGTGGAAGTTTTTTATTGTGAATTAAAGACAATCAAAACTGTGTAGTAATCAACAAACAATGAAGTAGCTAGTATTTTGTATATTTGCCAATCCAGGGAGTCAGTTTCTGTCTGACAGTAGGCACATTACTGATCGTTCTCTTTGTTTGAGGTGAGCTGACCTGCTCCAGAGCTTGTTAAAATAGTCTGTATCTTTACAATCTCAATTTCTTTTAGAAACAAAGCTAAAAGAATCTGAGGACAGAGCCAACTCTTCATGTCCTGGTTGTAAATTAAAATGCTTAACAGATTAGTGAATGTGTACAGTTTTGCATATGTGTGTGCATATTTGCATGTACATTATATGCTATATACTTTTACATGTCTTACAATTCTTTTTTAAAATGTTTTCTTTCTATTTCAATTCTTTTATTATATTATCCCTCTGTTCAGCACTTTGGCCGACACTTGATGTCTTTTAAATGTGCTATATAAATAAAGATGACTTGACTATTGAATAACCTTTCAACAGCTTCTGCTGCCCCCTTTGTGGACTACACAAAAGAACATTTGTAATGCCCTGAAGTGTTCAGGCTGCATTGGGGGAATAGCAGTGATTTACAAGTACAACTTCAGTTATGATACATTTACTCTGAGCTCATTTCATTCCTTCAAAGTTAACCATGAAAGTCCAGTTTGCTGTAGTATTATCCACCTGTGATGACTTTCTGAATGAATTCTTTGATCTGTTTTAATACATTGTTGCAAAATTAAACCAAATCCCTTTGGTAGGTGATTTTAATTACACTGATGATCTAGCTCTACAACCTCAGAATCTGTTAACAGTGCAAAGTCACTTGTATGTGAATGGTCTCCTTGTGATCCTGCAGTCGTCCCATGTTGACTTAACCATTTTCTCTTTATCTCTCCTGTCTGGACTTTTCTGTCAACACTTCAGAGTGAGTTACTGAGAGAGAGACTTCCTGTGGTCCTGTCTGAACTGGAGCCCTGGAATCATTAATTGGAAATCCTTCTGTTGTCACATTCTGTTGTTGCTTCACTGTGAATAAACACACTGAACTTAATCCTCTGAGTCTGCGTTCTTAGTCTAACCAGTCCATTACTTGTGACAGTGGCAGCAGCACCTCCTTTGGTCTGTTCAGCTAATCTATAAACTCCCTGCAAATGTCATACGTAGCTATAACACCAGTCATAGTCATTTCTTTTAAGTAATTGAATCTTTGTATCAACAAATATTTGTATTCCTGGTCTGGTCATGTCAAGGCCCGTCATCTAGTGGTTGAATGGCAGAAACACCGAGTAATGGCTGGAGTGGAGCTTTTACTCCAAGCAATGATTTTACAAGAATGAAAGTACTACAAAAGGTACATTAGTAAAAGCTCTGAAGACTGCAACAGTCCCCTGAGTGCTCAATGAAGCCATAAATGTTTAGCTTGATGCAAAGGATGAATAGTAGCCCAGAGCTGAGGGCAGAGAAGTCCAACAAGATCTGTGATCACTCATCTGCCCTCTTTCATGGGTGTTAGGCTGCTTTTCTCTTTACATCACTACCTGTTTCTTATACTGACACAGTTATACTCTAGTCCAAGCATATTCTTATTTGAGCCAATCAGCCACCACTTTGTGTGCTCTACATTTGTGCTCTCTGTCATTCTCTCTTTGTGCAACACACCACCTCCCCATCTCCACTTCACAGACACCTCAGAGCTCCATCCAAGCTTCAGCCTTCAAATTCATCCCCGCCAGCTTCTAGCCTTCAGTGGGTCGTGTTCAAAATCTCTGGTATTCCATTCTAACATGATGGGTCATCAGAGTCTAAATCCCAAATAAATTAATCATTTTATATAAATCATTATCAATTCTTTTAACTAGTTTTTCTGTAGGGATGTTGCTGGCGACTAATGTCTTTGTCGACTAACTGACGAGTTTAAAACTAAGAAATACTCAAGTTATATTTTGGAAACTTTAATGTCAAAAACTAAATATGACAAATAAAAACACCTGAAAAATGATAGACTGAAATATGTCTTTCCCTAATGAAACATATTTTTTGGTACAAATGTCTTAAACTCTCCTATAACAGCTTTGCAACTAAAGCAAGATTGCATCTTCTTAAGTAGCACGTTCTGGGGTCCTTAGGGACTAGAAAAGCGCTATACAAATACAGGCAATTTACCGCATCGCTCCTGTGGTGGTGCTGTGACTGTTCATAGCTTAACAATACCTGCATATTTGATGTCTACAGATATAATGTGACATTCATACTGAGAGATATATGTATTCTGTAAGCTGCAATGCATGTTTGGAATTAACTTAAGTTAGTAAAAAGGTTGTTTGACTGTGATAAGTAATTATCTTGTGTTGTCTATTACAGGATATTTGCAGAAAGGACAAAACTGTTGTTGCAGTGTTGTATTTGGTATCATCACGTCAGGCCTATAACAGCTTTGCAACTAAAGTAAGATTGCACCTTCTTAAGTAGCGGGTTCTCTGTCTGTACTTCCTTTTTTGTTTGCAACCGCAGGGAGCTAGTTTCTGTGTTTGACCACGTTACTGATATATGCCGACTGCCACACATTGTAGTGGTTATTCAGATGGTATCAACTCGTTGCATAATTATTAACTGATGAAGAAACAAACAAAATAAGGTGGAATACAGTTTTTCTCCAGCTCCTCATTGTCTATTGTGGTAATCACTGTCAGCCTGATCTCTGGCTGCAGCACAGGGCTTGTTTGATGTGTTTGGTCCGTTTGATTTCACAGATTTTGTCTTTTTTAAGAAGCAGTCAGAACAGCAGAAAATGAAGATGTTCATTATGATGAAACCAAAGCAGAGACCTTCTTTAGTCTCAGTGCAGGACAGCACACAGAAGCAGGATTTAGTGTATTCACAGATCAACATGTGCAACAGCGTAACGCCGAGACGTGAAGGCCCAGAGAGTATGAACTCTCATTGTATCTACTGTGTGTGCAAGTTGAACAAATGTTGTTACAGAGAAATGTTCCCTCTGAATACGTCCCAATTAAAAGGTCCATTGGAAAGGTTCAACAAGGAGCTGGAGACAGAGCGGCACTTGTAGGTTGGAGGAGTTCAGCATCAGCATGCTGTTACTGATCTCACCAACATTTCTTACCCTCCCTGATATAAATGACCTAAAACATACATTTTATGACATCAGCGAGCCAGAAGTTGGAACATCAGGGAACCTCTGTGCTACACGATTGATGATTCACCACAAGGATCCTCTTTAGCCAAATACCTCACAGAACAATTACATTGAATTCAATTTGGAGTTTCCGTTGCTTGAAGGAGAAAATGTAATTCAAAACCTTTACCAAGCTTCTACTAATAAATGAATCACATAAACAGGTCCCACAGCTTTGCCACTTCTATCTTCCAGTATCACCACTCCAGCAGCACACGCATGGCCTCTCAGGGCCCAGCAGTCAAAGGCAAGCAACACTTGATACTGGACGTCCAGATAACGTGTGTGTGTAGAGCGAGAGAGATACAGTCTGTCATAGTCCATCATCATGATTTGTGTTAGCACAGGTTGTACATTCATACTAAGAATGATTCAATCACTTGTGTAAGGTTGAGGTCAGAGGCTTCGACAGACCAAAAGTTAAAAATGTCTTTAAGGGCAACATCTGACTTTTTTCACAGGAAATAAGCAGGCGGCACAAAACAGACTTCATTATGCAGCGCTACAGTCAGTGGGTGTCTCTACATGTACTTCCTCAGATGATCATTTGTATTTTACAGTTTATAGTAGTTCTGCTGAAGGCTGCTTTGTGTCACTCATAAGACAATCAGCAGATGTAATGTGGGGTAAAGAAACATTTTACTGCTTTTATTTCTTAACGGGGGCGATTGTGGCTCAAGAGTTAGGAGTTCGCCTTGTAATCGGAAGGTTGCCGGTTCGAACCCCGGCTTGGACAGTCTCGGTCGTTGTGTCCTTGGGCAAGGCACTTCACCCGTTGCCTACTGGTGGTGGTCAGAGGGCCCGGTGGCACCAGTGTCCGGCAGCCTCGCCTGTCAGTGCACCCCAGGGTGGCTGTGGCTACAATGTAGCTGCCATCACCAGTGTGTGAATGTGTGTGCGAATGGGTGGGTGACTGGATATGTAAAGCGCTTTGGGGTCCTTAGGGACTAGTGAAGCGCTATATAAATACAGGCCATTTACCATTTAACTTTCTAAACTCAAACACATTTATTATTTTGAACTTGTCTTTCTTAAAGAGCATGTCGTCTTTATAAACTTCCTTACAAACTGCCTAATGCTGCAGTAAAACACATTTTACTCATTGTATTGATTAACTTTATAAATTAACCTTTTTCTTATTTTTCCTTCAGTCAACTGACTGACACATCATGTGATTTTACCTTGTTTTAATATTTCAGCTATTTTCAAAGCACACAGCACCACAGATATAAATAATAATAACTAAATCATTCTCATTCACTTTTTTGTTGATTTTATTGTTTGTTTGTATTTTGTGATTCCAGATGAAGATGGTAACAGTCAGCATTTTACTGACTGTTCTCTTTCTTTCAGGTGAGCTGATTGTTCAGCTATTCAAAGACATTATTGGATTCATTTGTAATTTAACTTTCACCCACTTTAAAACAACCTGAAAGACAGCCAGCACTTTGTGTTGTGATTGAAAATGTAAACAGTTTACAGTTTACAGTTTACAAACAATGAACAGCAGCTTGTTAATAATGAAACTGTATTTACAGATGCTTTGGCTGATTATCCTCAGTGGATAGCACTCTACATGACTGCCCCAAAGCAGATGGAAGCACTGAGTGGATCTTGTTTGCAAATCCCATGTAACTTCAGACCCAAAGACGAACAGAAATTTATAAGCAAAAGAAAAATCTTTGGAGTGTGGATTAAAATTAATGGTGACAAAAAGCCAAACAATGTGATCTTCAGAAGTAATGGAGCAGTTAACATCTATCCAATGAGTATTACTGGGAACCTGAGTCAGAGAAACTGCACCACTCTGTTTTCTATTTTAACCACAAACTACACAAACACATACTTCTTCAGAGTAGAGAGTGAAACATTCAAGGCAACAGCTCAACATGATCCTCTTCAAATAACAGTCACAGGTAAAGACTGAAGTTTTTAATCCATTTATATCATAAAATAATACAAACCTTTGTTCTGATACTCACTCTCTTTAATGAATGCAGACATTTACAAATCATTTATAAAAAAATCATTTATAAAAGAACATAATATGAGATAAAGAAGAGAAAATTTATTGTAATTTTTTTAAAGAAGATGTTTTTTTCAGATTTAATTCATTTCTACGTCAGTTTTAGTTTACTTCAGCAAACTGAGAATGCACAGCAGTTCAAACTACATGTATGTAATATACTGTTCTTTAGTGTTAACATGTTTGTGATATGAAACCACAGATTCTTCTTGGAGGCCCAATAATACATACCCAGATTTCCTCCAATTTAATGGATTTAGAACATACCTGTCACTCCATCCGTCCTTTTCCTCCTTTCCTTATCAGATATCCAAAGGGGCAGGGATTTATTTCAGCTGTCATCGGGCGAGAGGTGGAGCACATCCTGCACAGGTCACCAGTCTGTTGCAAGGAGACAGATAACCATTCCTACTCACACTCACACCTATGGGCAATTTAGAATCATTTACTTAAAGCCAACAAGGTTGAAACAGAATTTTCTTTACGTCTTTGTCCTCGACAGGTCTATGACAGGCCGCTCAGACTGGCTGCTCTGCCAGTTATTGAGCTTTAAGCCACAATATGGGTGGCTGTAGTTCAGGAGGTAGAGCAGGTCGTCTGCTGATTGGAAGGTTGCTGGTTTAACCTTTGGCTCCACCAGTTTGCATGCCAAAAATCCTTGGGCAAAATACTAAATTGCTGTCCGATGCATCCATCATAGTATGAATAGGTGTGAATGTTAGTTTGAAAGCACTTAAAAGCATTGAGAAAGTGCTTGTGTGGCATGTTGTATAAAGCGCTTTATGGTCTGGGAGAGTAGAAAAATGCTACATAAGAATCAGTCCATTTACCAATAGCAACAGCAGACATGTGGAGTGTGTATGCTTTTCTGCCTCTCATAACCCCAGTGATCCTGTGGTTGGAAATCTCACGTGATATTGTAACATCACAAGTTCAGGCAACTAACCACTCCTATTCAATTGTATCATGTCATCTCAACAAGAATACAATTAACTAGTTTTAAGTTGCCGAATTTCATGCAGATCGTCGATGATTTAATTCAGTTCACCGTGGAAACATAAAAGTATTTTGTTCAAATTTCACTTTAGACTCTTGTAAATGTAACAACAACCCAAATTTCATTTTTTTGCAAACATGCCCAGAGAAAGCAGCTGTGTGTGTGGTTCCTCTTGTAGATATGTTTTTTCTTTTCATTATAGACGAACAATTTGAAATTCTTGGTGCAGAAATGGTCTTCAAAATGTGTCCATATTAACAAAAAACATCAAATGTCTCACTTTTAACCAGTGATGTTTCAGGTTTAATCGATTTGACTGTCAGTTGTTGTTTATATTGACAAAACTGAGAATCCATAGTAGTTCAAACTGCATGTATGCTTTAGTGTTAATACGTTTGTGATGTGAAACCACAGATTCTCCTTGGAGGCCCAATATTACAATCTCAGGTGATCTGAAGGAGAAGGAGTCTGTCACTATAACCTGCTCAGCTCTCACTCCCTGTCCACACTCCCCTCCTCAACTCACCTGGAATCTCCAACAAGACTCTCACAACAAAACAGAGGAAAACACAGATGGAAGCTTTACAACTAAAATCCAGCAGAACATCACTCTGTCAGACACACATGATGGAAAGAAGATCAGCTGCTCTGCCAGATATCCTGTGAACCAAGGAAAAGACACCAAGACAGCAGAGACAGAAGAGACTCTCAGTGTTTCATGTAAGACAATCATAGTGTTTTTATGGATCCTGTGAGTAATGGAATATTGAATGTTTATAATGGATAATAGGAATCCGTATTAGAGCTATTTCCCCCCCTTTTTTTCCAGTGCTCCCCAAAGAAACCACAGCATTTATCAACCCATCAGGTTCAGTGCCAGCAGGCAGTCAGGTGAACCTAGCTTGTTATAGTAAAGCCAAACCTCCAGTCCGCAGCTTCACCTGGTTCAAGAAGAGCAGAGATGGAGCTGTGAAAGTATCTGAAGGAGTGATTTACAGCTTCAGTGTAACAGATGGAGGAGTTTATTACTGTGTGGCCACTAATGATCTGGGTAATCAGACATCAGCAGAGATTGACTTGACTGTTGGAGGTAAAGTTACTCAGCATTTAGCTGTTTTTTTAATTTATTTTTTAATCATTTTTTGAGGTATTTCTTAAAAGTGAGTTGAAAAGGAAGCAAATTTAGCTTCATGAAGTTCAAATCTTGTAATGTATCCTGCAACATGTGGTTGTTCATGTGTTAGACTTGAAAACTATTTTTTCACCTAAAACAATCTTATTTACTGTTTTCTGCATTACAGGTGGAAACCTGGTTGGTGTCTACACTATAGTGAAGACTGTGGGAATCATAATGCTCGTGAGCACACTGATCGTATTTGAGTGGTGAGACAAATGTTTCTGTGACACACGCATTTGAAACCAACTAACTCATCGTAAAACAACATAATTCAGTCTTTCTGGTTTCTTTGATTTGATTCTGTTTTTTCCCTTCAGCTGGTTCAGATCAAGATTCTCCAACAAACCAGATACTGAAAGCTGTCAGATGAACAGAGTCACATCACAACACATCAACTAAAGTTTCCACAGGAGGAAAAACTCCACCTTCAATCATCACTTAATTCCATTCAGTGACTTTCAACAGTTGTGCATGACCATTTTACTTTGAATGTAGAGATGCTGTTGCAGAAATCGAAACATTTACTTTGTGGATAATTTCATATCATTCCTTCGCTGCCCTGAGTCTGTTAAACAGGGGCTGCTTCAGCCTGACCATCTTATTTTTTTATAGTGTATCCATGAATATTGATCTAACACCACACTTCTGTAAGACTGATCCAGCATAATGTGTGGAGATGCACGCAATTTTACACTCTATTACAGGTACAGCTGTGTTCTTGCTATTACTACAGAATCAATTTTAAGGTTTTACTATTTGTTTTTAAAGCTCTCCATGGTTTGGCTCCAGGTTACATTTCAGATCTTCTTAGCCTGCACTTACCCACTCGATCTCTGCTCTCCTCCAGTCAGATGGTTTTATCAGTTCCACGCTCCCAGCTCAAATCTAGAGAGGACAGGGCTTTCTCCATTGCCGCCCCGAGACTCTGGAATAGTCTTCCCCCCTTCATAAAATTCTCTTCATCCTTGGAAGTCTTTAAATCGATTCTCAAGACCTACTTATTTTCCAAGGCTTTCAGATCTCTTTGATATCTTTTTTTATTCTGTCTATTTGGTCTCTTATATTATGGATGGTGTTGTATGTGTATATACGTTATATTCACATATGTGTGCTTGTGTGTGAATGTGTACAGTTTTGTATATGTATGTGCATATTTGCATGTACATTATATGCTATATACTCTTACATGTCTTACAATTCTTTTTTAAAATGTTTTCTTTCTATTTCAATTCTTTTATTATATTATCCCTCTGTTCAGCACTTTGGCCGACACTTGATGTCTTTTAAATGTGCTATATAAATAAAGATGACTTGACTTGACTTGACTTGACTATTGAATAACAGCTTCTGCTGCCCCCTTTGTGGACTACACAAAAGAACATTTGTAATGCCCTGAAGTGTTCAGGCTGCATTGGGGGAATAGCAGTGATTTACAAGTACAACTTCAGTTATGATACATTTACTCTGAGCTCATTTCATTCCTTCAAAGTTAACCATGAAAGTCCAGTTTGCTGTAGTATTATCCACCTGTGATGACTTTCTGAATGAATTCTTTGATCTGTTTTAATACATTGTTGCAAAATTAAACCAAATCCCTTTGGTAGGTGATTTTAATTACACTGATGATCTAGCTCTACAACCTCAGAATCTGTTAACAGTGCAAAGTCACTTGTATGTGAATGGTCTCCTTGTGATCCTGCAGTCGTCCCATGCTGACTTAACCATTTTCTCTTTATCTCTCCTGTCTGGACTTTTCTGTCAACACTTCAGAGTGAGTTACTGAGAGAGAGACTTCCTGTGGTCCTGTCTGAACTGGAGCCCTGGAATCATTAATTGGAAATCATTCTGTTGTCACATTCTGTTGTTGCTTCACTGTGAATAAACACACTGAACTTAATCCTCTGAGTCTGCGTTCTTAGTCTAACCAGTCCATTACTTGTGACAGTGGCAGCAGCACCCCCTTTGGTCTGTTCAGCTAATCTATAAACTCCCTGCAAATGCCATACGTAGCTATAACACCAGTCATAGTCATTTCTTTTAAGTAATTGAATCTTTATATCAACAAATATTTGTATTCCTGGTCTGGTCATGTCAAGGCCCGTCATCTAATGGAATAGCAGAAAAACCATGTAATGGCTGGAGTGGAGCTTTTACTCCAAGCAATCATTTCAAAAGAATGAAAGTACTACAAAAGGTACATTAGTAAAAGCTCTGAAGAATGCAACAGTTCCCTGAGTGCTCAATGAAGCCATAAATGTTTAGCTTGATGCATAGGATAAATAGAAGCCCACAGCTGAGGGCAGAGAAGTCCAACAAGATCTGTGATCACTCATCTGCCCTCTTTCATGGGTGTTAGGCTGCTTTTCTCTTTACATCACTACCTGTTTCTTATACTGACACAGTTATACTCTAGTCCAAGCATATTCTTATTTGAGCCAATCAGCCACCACTTTGTGTGCTCTACATTTGTGCTCTCTGTCATTCTCTCTTTGTGCAACCCACCACCTCCCCATCTCCACTTCACAGACACCTCAGAGCTCCATCCAAGCTTCAGCCTTCAAATTCATCCCCGCCAGCTTCTAGCCTTCAGTGGGTCGTGTTCAAAATCTCTGGTATTCCATTCTAACATGATGGGTCATCAGAGTCTAAATCCCAAATAAATTAATCATTTTATATAAATCATTATCAATTCTTTTAACTAGTTTTTCTGTAGGGATGTTGCTGGCGACTAATGTCTTTGTCGACTAACTGACGAGTTTAAAACTAAGAAATACTCAAGTTATACTTTGGAAACTTTAATGTCAAAAACTAAATATGACAAATAAAAACACCTGAAAAATGATAGACTGAAATATGTCTTTCCCTAACGAAACATATTTTTCGTACAATGTCTTAAACTCTCCTAGAATGAAGATGAAGCACATTTATTATTTTTTCAGATATTTATTTATTTACTGCTCTTGACATGCAACTAAAATATAAAATGCCTTTTTGTATTTATTCACCTCAAATGTTGTGTGTTGGGCTGTGCAGTAACACTGGATTCCTTTGTAACATCTCTGAGTGTCACCGAGGCGATCGTGGCTCAAGCCCCGGCTTGACAGTCTCAGTCGTTGTGTCCTTGGGCAAGACACTTCACCCATTGCGCCTACTGGTGGTGGTCAGAGGGCCCGTTGGCGCCAGGTTCCGGCAGCCTCGCCTCTGTCAGTCCGCCCCAAGGTGGCTGTGGCTACAATGTAGCTTACCATCACCAGTGTGTGAATGTGTGTGTGAACGGGTGGATAACTGACTGTAGTGTAAAGCGCTTTGGGGTCCTTAGGGACTAGAAAAGCGCTATACAAATACAGGCCATTTACTGCATCGCTCCTGTGGTGGTGCTGTGACTGCTCATAGCTTAACAATACCTGCATATTTGATGTCTACAGATATAATGTGACATTCATACTGAGAGTTATATGTATTCTGTAAGCTGCAATGCAGGTTTGGAATTAACTTAAGTTAGTAAAAAGGTTGTTTGACTGTGATAAGTAATTATCTAGTGTTGTCTATTACAGGATATTTGCAGAAAGGACAAAACTGTTGTTGCAGTGTTGTATTTGGTATCATCACGTCAGGCCTATAACAGCTTTGCAACTAAAGTAAGATTGCATCTTCTTAAGTAGCGGGTTCTCTGTCTGTACTTCCTTTTTTGTTTGCAACCGCACGGAGCTAGTTTCTGTGTTTGACCACGTTACTGATATATGCCGACTGTCACACATTGTAGTGGTTATTTAGATGGTATCAACTCGTTGCATAATTATTAACTGATGAAGAAACAAACAAAATAAGGTGGAATACAGTTTTCCTCCAGCTCCTCATTGTCTATTGTGGTAATCACTGTCAGCCTGATCTCTGGCTGCAGCACAGGGCTTGTTTGATGTGTTTGGTCTGTGTGATTTCACAGAGTGTGTCTTTTTTAAGAAGCAGTCAGAACAGCAGAAAATGAAGATGTTCATTATGATGAAACCAAAGCAGAGACCTTCTTTAGTCTCAGTGCAGGACAGCACACAGAAGCAGGATTTAGTGCATTCACAGATCAACATGTGCAACAGCGTAACGCCGAGACGTGAAGGCCCAGAGAGTATGAACTCTCATTGTATCTACTGAGTGTGCAAGTAAGTGTGCAAGACTGAGAGCAGAAGAGAAGTGCAGAGTAAATGAGTGTGCAGTTGAACAAATGTTGTTACAGAGAAATGTTCCCTCTGAATACGTCCCAATTAAAAGGTCCATTGGAAAGGTTCAACCAGGAGCTGGAGACACAGCGGCACGCGTAGGTTGGAGGAGTTCAGCCTCAGCATGCTGTTACTGATCTCACCAACATTTCTTACCCTCCCTGATATAAATGACCTAAAACATACATTTTATGACATCAGCGAGCCAGAAGTTGGAACATCAGGGAACCTCTGTGCTACACGATTGATGATTCACCACAAGGATCCTCTGTAGCCAAATACCTCACAGAACAATTACATTGAATTCAATTTGGAGTTTCCGTTGCTTGAAGGAGAAAATGTAATCCATTAAAGACTTTTACAACTAGTATTGGGACACAAAGTGTCAGCAGAGCAAACTAAAGACTGAACGTCCAAACAAATTAGTTGTGGACTAAAAATAAAAATTTAATTTACAATTCATGATTTTTCCAATTAAAATTAACAACATTGAAACAAATAGGAATGAAAAAGGAAGCAAATCAACAGCAGCATCTCCTAGGTCAGAAAAACAAAGTAAAAACTCCACTCTTACAGGAAAGTAAAGAAACATTACTATCTGAAACCATAATATGAATGCTAAAATAATGCAAAAACAAGAGATGTTGGAAAACCTTTACCAAGCTTCTACTAATAAATGAATCACTTTACCAAATAGCAGAATAAACAGGTCCCACAGCTTTGCCACTTCTATCTTCCAGTATCACCACTCCAGCAGCACACACATGGCAAATTAAAACACCTGAAAAAATGACTGAAAAGTGTGGTGCATTGTACTGTGCATTATGAATGACGCACTCTGTTCAAAAGTTCACGACAACCACTTCAATCAAAGTTCAAATCTAAAATAACATAAATGATAAATCATCCATGCAATATCTTCAGCTTATTTCAAGTATGCAGCAGTCTAAGCAGGGAAGCCCAGACCTCCTTTTTCCCACCTTGTCCATCTTCAGGGGAATGCTTGGCCTTTCCAGGGCCAGTGTATCAATCTAATCTCTACAGCATGTTCATTTAGGCTTTTTCGACATGGATATTTTTGCTGCCTATCATTAAAAATAATTCTTAGCTAATATGTTATGTACGCTCAGTGAATGAGAAGATAATGACCTTTTTTAAAGAAGAGAAAAAGAGGAAAATAGATAAAGGATGCCATGTGTGGAAATATAAGAATCTTATATATTGAGTCAAATCTACATCTACTGAGGAAGAACACTGATACATAAACACAGGACACTTGGTCTGATTCTTTGCACTGCACCTCAAATATGGGAGTAGATAGTGACTGTAGGAAGCAGTGGTACAGGGGTGAATTTAGAAATGAATGCTTTGCTATCACACTTGTTCTGGTCTAAGCATAACTGATGCAACAACATCTTCTGGGTATGTCTCCTTATGTATGGAAAGCTCTCCTCTCTGAGAGAAGAATTAAAACCCAGCAGTGTTAGTAACATGAAGTGCTCCGCTTTAGTGAATCAAAAGTGAACCAAGCCTTCTATTACTCAGAACTCTTGCCCAGATAAAGTTAACTGCCCTAGTTACAATATCAGCAACATGGTTCTTATTTTGGACAGACTTAAAACAACACCTCCTGGTGCAGAAGAAATGTGTGGATGTTCTCTTCATCATGTTCAGATTGTTCTGTCATGGTCCCTGTGCCTCTCCGGCTCACTCATGTTGGCCACAGGATTGTTTTCTTTTCTCTCCTGCTTCCCTGGGTGGAGGTCATTGTGGGCTCTCACCCTTGGCCCACGCACCTGCGGTGATTACTACACCTATTGCTGATCAGGCGGAGTCTCCCTTGCCTATTTAAGTCAGCACTGGAACGTTGAACCTCACGTGTTCGTGCTCTCAGTTCTCCTCAAAGAAACTCTCTCGGTATTGTGTGGCGTATTGATCTAATCGGACTCTTTGTGTTTAGATCTCCCCGGAACTGGTGGTGGACCCTGATCCCTGTGTGTGTCGACACAAGTGGAATTTGGAGCGAGAGTGGCTGTGGGAGAGTGTGCGTGAGAAGAGGAGTGGCGGAGTTTGGATTGAGTGGAGAGCAAGTGTGGATTCCTTCCTGCCCCATTCACTCTATATACACATCACTACGGTTTCCCTTCTGTGTTAATAAATTGTCAACCTTTTGCTTACCACAACGCAGTCTGCACTTGAATCCATCTGTTAGCCCTGACATGTTCATGTGTGATGTATATACAAGTTAGTGTCAGCAGTGCTTCCACACAACTTGAAAATAAACTCTTTTAAAAAGGAGGCATTAAATTGAAGTCACAAAAGCAGTTTATTTACACTGAAATATGTCTTTCCCTGATGAAACATATTTTTTTGTACAAATGTCTTGAACTCTCCTAGAATGAAGATGAAGCACATTTATTATTTTTTCAGATATTTTTTTATTTACTGCTCTTGGCATGCAACTAAAATATAAAATGCCTTTTTGTATTTATTGACCTCAAATTTTGTGTGTTGGGCTGTGCAGCTCAAGAGTTGGGAGTTCGCCTTGTAATCGGAAGGTTGCCGGTTAGGGACTAGAAAAGCGCTATACAAATACAGGCCATTTACCGCATCGCTCCTGTGGTGGTGCTGTGACTGCTCATAGCTTAACAATACCTGCATATTTGATGTCTACAGATATAATGTGACATTCATACTGAGAGTTATATGTATTCTGTAAGCTGCAATGCAGGTTTGGAATTAACTTAAGTTAGTAAAAAGGTTGTTTGACTGTGATAAGTAATTATCTAGTGTTGTCTATTACAGGATATTTGCAGAAAGGACAAAACTGTTGTTGCAGTGTTGTATTTGGTATCATCACGTCAGGCCTATAACAGCTTTGCAACTAAAGTAAGATTGCATCTTCTTAAGTAGCGGGTTCTCTGTCTGTACTTCCTTTTTTGTTTGCAACCGCACGGAGCTAGTTTCTGTGTTTGACCACGTTACTGATATATGCCGACTGCCACACATTGTAGTGGTTATTCAGATGGTATCAACTCGTTGCATAATTATTAACTGATGAAGAAACAAACAAAATAAGGTGGAATACAGTTTTCCTCCAGCTCCTCATTGTCTATTGTGGTAATCACTGTCAGCCTGATCTCTGGCTGCAGCACAGGGCTTGTTTGATGTGTTTGGTCTGTGTGATTTCACAGAGTGTGTCTTTTTTAAGAAGCAGTCAGAACAGCAGAAAATGAAGATGTTCATTATGATGAAACCAAAGCAGAGACCTTCTTTAGTCTCAGTGCAGGACAGCACACAGAAGCAGGATTTAGTGCATTCACAGATCAACGTGTGCAACAGCGTAACGCCGAGACGTGAAGGCCCAGAGAGTATGAACTCTCATTGTATCTACTGAGTGTGCAAGTAAGTGTGCAAGACTGAGAGCAGAAGAGAAGTGCAGAGTATACAGAGTGACAATAAAAGTGATTTGATTTGATTTGATTTGATTTGAGTAAATGAGTGTGCAGTTGAACAAATGTTGTTACAGAGAAATGTTCCCTCTGAATACGTCCCAATTAAAAGGTCCATTGGAAAGGTTCAACCAGGAGCTGGAGACACAGCGGCACGCGTAGGTTGGAGGAGTTCAGCCTCAGCATGCTGTTACTGATCTCACCAACATTTCTAACCCCCCCTCTTATAAATGACCTAAAACATACATTTTATGACATCAGCGAGCCAGAAGTTGGAACATCAGGGAACCTCTGTGCTACACGATTGATGATTCACCACAAGGATCCTCTGTAGCCAAATACCTCACAGAACAATTACATTGAATTCAATTTTGTGTTTCCATTGCTTGAAGGAGAAAATTTAATTCAAAACCTTTACCAAGCTTCTACTAATAAATGAATCACTTTACCAAACAGCAGAATAAACAGGTCCCACAGCTTTGCCACTTCTATCTCCAGTATCACCACTCCAGCAGCACATGCATGGCCTCTCAGGGCCCAGCAGTCAAAGGCAAGCAACACTTGATACTGGACGTCCAGATAACGTGTGTGTGTAGAGCGAGAGAGATACAGTCTGTCATAGTCCATCATCATGATTTGTGTTAGCACAGGTTGTACATATATATCATACTAAGAATGATTCAATCACTTGTGTAAGGTTAAGGTCAGAGGCTTCGACAGACCAAAAGTTAAAAATGTCTTTAAGGGCAACATCTGACTTTTTTCACAGGAAATAAGCAGGCGGCACAAAACAGACTTCATTATGCAGCGCTACAGTCAGTGGGTGTCTCTACATGTACTTCCTCAGATGGTCATTTGTATTTTACAGTATATAGTAGTTCTGCTGAAGGCTGCTTTGTTTCACTCATAAGACAATCATCAGATCTAATGTGGGGTAAAGAAACATTTTACTGCTTTTATTTCTTAACTTTCTAAACTGAAAGAAATTTATTATTTTGAACTTGTCTTTCTTAAAGAGCATGTCGTCTTTATAAACTTCCTTACAAACTGCCTAATGTTGCAGTAAAACACATTTCACTCATTGTATTCATTAACCTTTTTTCTTATTTTTCCTTCAGTCAACTGACTGACACATCATGTGATTTTACCTTGTTTTAATATTTCGGCTATTTTCAAAGCACACAGCACCACAGATATAAATAATAATAACTAAATCATTCTCATTCACTTTTTTGTTGATTTTATTGTTTGTTTGTATTTTGTGATTCCAGATGAAGATGGTGACAGTCAGCATTTTACTGACTGTTCTCTTTGTTTCAGGTGAGCTGATTGTTCTGTTATTCAAAGACATTATTGGATTCATTTGTAATTTAACTTTCACCCACTTTAAAACAACCTGAAAGACAGAGCCAGCGCTTTGTGTTGTGATTGAAAATGTAAACAGTTTACAAACAATGAACAGCAGCTTGTTAATAATGAAACTGTATTTACAGGTGCTTTGGCTGATTATCCTCAGTGGATAGCACTCTACATGACTGCCCCAAAGCAGATGGAAGCACTGAGTGGATCTTGTTTGCAAATCCCATGTAACTTCACACCCAAAGACGAACAGAAATTTAACAGCAAAATAAAAATCTTTGCAGTGTGGATTAAAAATAATGGTGACTTTGGCAAAAATCCAAACAATGTGATCTACAACAGTAGTGGAGCAGTTAGCATCTATCCAATGAGTATTACTGGGAACCTGAGTCAGAGAGACTGCACCACTCTGTTTTCTAATTTAACCACAAACTACACAAACACATACTTCTTCAGAGTAGAGAGTGAACCATTCAAGGCAACAGCTCAACATGATCCTCTTCAAATAACAGTCACAGGTAAAGACTGAAGTTTTTAATCCATTTATATCAAAAAATAATACAAACCTTTGTTCTGATACTCACTCTCTTTAATGAATGCAGACATTTACAAATCATTTATAAAGGAACATAATATGAGATAAAGAAGAGAAAATTTATTGTAATTTTTTTAAGAAGATGTTTTTTCAGATTTAATTCATTTCTACGTCAGTTTTAGTTTACTTCAGCAAACTGAGAATGCACAGCAGTTCAAACTGCATGTATGTAATATACTGTTCTTTAGTGTTAACATGTTTGTGATATGAAACCACAGATTCTTCTTGCAGGCCCAATAATACATACCCAGATTTCCTCCAATTTAATGGATTTAGAACATACCTGTCACTCCATCCGTCCTTTTCCTCCTTTCCTTATCAGATATCCAAGGGGGCAGGGATTTATTTCAGCTGTCATCGGGCGAGAGGTGGAGCACATCCTGCACAGGTCACCAGTCTGTTGCAAGGAGACAGATAACCATTTCTACTCACACTCACACCTATGGGAAATTTAGAATCATTTACTTAAAGCCAACAAGGTTTGATACAGAATTTTCTTTACGTCTTTGTCCTCGACAGGTCTATGACAGGCCGCTCAGACTGGCTGCTCTGCCAGTTATTGAGCTTTAAGCCACAATATGGGTGGCTGTAGTTCAGGAGGTAGAGCAGGTCGTCTGCTGATTGGAAGGTTGCTGGTTCAACCTTTGGCTCCACCAGTCTGCATGCCAAAAGTCCTTGGGCAAAATTGCTGTCCGATGCATCCATCGTAGTATGAATAGGTGTGAATGTTAGTTTGAAAGCACTTAAAAGCATTGAGAAAGTGCTTGTGTGGCATGTTGTATAAAGCGCTTTATGGTCTGGGAGAGTAGAAAAATGCTACATAAGAATCAGTCCATTTACCAACAGCAACAGCAGACATGTGGAGTGTGTACGCTTTTCTGCCTCTCATAACCCCAGTGATTTTCCTGTGGTTGGAAATCTCACGTGATCTTGTAACATCACAAGTTCAGGCAACTAACCACTCCTATTCAATTGTATCATGTCATCTCAACAAGAATACAATTAACTAGTTTTAAGTTGCCGAATTTCATGCAGATCGTCGATGATTTAATTCAGTTCACCGTGGAAACATAAAAGTATTTTGTTCAAATTTCACTTTGGACTCTTGTAAATGTAACAACAACCCAAATTTCATTTTTTTGCAAACATGCCCAGAGAAAGCAGCTGTGTGTGTGGTTCCTCTTGTAGATATGTTTTTTCTTTTCATTATAGACAAACAATTTGAAATTCTTGGTGCAGAAATGTGTCGATATTAACAAAAAACATCAAATGTCTCACTTTTAACCAGTGATGTTTCAGGTTTAATCAATTTGACTGTCAGTTGTTGTTTATATTGACAAAACTGAGACTCCATAGTAGTTCAAACTGCATGTATGCTTTAGTGTTAATACGTTTGTGATGTGAAACCACAGATTCTCCTTGGAGGCCCGATATTACAATCCCAGGTGATCTGAAGGAGAAGGAGTCTGTCACTATAACCTGCTCAGCTCTCACTCCCTGTCCACACTCCCCTCCTCAACTCACCTGGAATCTCCAACAAGACTCTCACAACAAAACAGAGGAAAACACAGATGGAAGCTTTACAACTAAAATCCAGCAGAACATCACTCTGTCAGACACACATGATGGAAAGAAGATCAGCTGCTCTGCCAGATATCCTGTGAACCAAGAAAACGACACCAAGACAGCAAAGACAGAAGAGACTCTCAGTGTTTCATGTAAGACAATCAGAGTTTGTTGTTGAACTGAATCCTTCAGGACACCATGGTATATGGGATATCACTTTCTCTCTTTTATTTCTCCAGATGCTCCTAAAGACACCTCAGCATCCATCAGTCCATCAGGTTTGGTGTCAGCAGGCAGCTGGGCGAACCTGACCTGCTCCAGCAGAGCCAAACCAGTCAGCAACTTCACCTGGTTCAAGAAGAGCAGAGATGGAGCTGTGAAAGTATCTGAAGGAGAGATTTACAGCTTCAATGTAACAGATGGAGGAGTTTATTACTGTGTGGCCACTAATGATCTGGGTAATCAGACATCAGCAGAGATTGACGTGACTGTTGGAGGTAAATTTAGGTCGAAACCACTAATGTGTTGCATGTTCTTATCCAATTTTTCTTCATCTTATCTACTGTTGTCTTCTCTTTGTTTATTTCTTTTTTTCTAAACAGAGCTATAAAAAATATAAAATGAATCCGTATATGGCTTCTGTTTAACTCTTTAACTGAAATGTTTTTTCTTATTGATCTTGTTTTTCAGGAGAGCAGAATGGTAGCTCCTTCCCAACATGGCTAATTCTTGGAGGAATCCTTGGGTTCATCTTACTCGTCTGCCTGATTATCTTTGTTTGGTAAATATTACATTACAGCAGAAAATATGATCTCTCACCCTCTCCCTCCCTTATCTTTCCTGCTTGGCTTCTATATCCTTGTCTAATCTCGTCTAACTCTAACCCTCAGAGTTTCTCAGTCTTGTTCTCTAAAACCCAAAGAATTGTGGATCTGATCAACTGGTTCCTCAATGGATATTGGCACTCTACTCTAGACGAAAAGCCTGGGCTCAGGAGTAGGGATGGGTACCGGTGTCCGGTGCCATGACATAAACGGTAGTAACCAGACCGAAAAGCTGCGCACATTTCGGTGCTTTATTTCTGTGCTTTTTTTCCCCTGAGATGTCATACACTTTGGATTCTAGCCAATCATTTTACCTTTTCGAGGATAGTAGGCGGGCCCAGGTACGTACGTTCTTTTAGAGCAGAGCTACAGATTAAAAACGCCCAAGGCGAAGCGGTCAGAAGTCTGGCTGTACTTCACAGCAAAAGATGCAAACTCAGCAGCCTGCAACAAGTGCTTTAAGGTGATACTGTGATACTGTGCAAAGGAGGTAACACCTCGAATCTGATGAAACACCTGGTGACGCATAGTGTTTTTTTAAAAGCAGAGAAATGCATCGTATTTGATAGCTTGCTGCAAGACCGAGCACCGTACACATCTACTGCGGGTGTGGTGCCTGTTATCGGACCCGGAGTTAGCAACATCCCCCAAAAACCCGAAGAGTATAGTCCTGGCCCCTAGCCCTGCCAGTGTAGCAGAAATGATGAGGATGATGATGGCAGCAGCAGCCGTTCTTCTCTGGGTCAGTAGCTTAATGTTATTCGTGTGTAATTTACGTTGAGTACGCTGACCACGTTATTACATTAATGCATGTAAGGTGAACTAGCAAACACCGTTGTAGTTACATGCGGCTGACTTCTTGTTTGATGGCAGATACTCCCTTCACCCTGGCCAAAAAGGCTAAAATGACCAAAGAAAAAGTGGAAAACAGTTAAACATGAGAGGTTTTTGGACAAAGTTGGTGTTTTTCCAATGTTTAAGCACTGCTTCCAGCCAAGAGTGATACCATATATGCCCTATAGCTGCAGAGAAGACTAACATTGTTATCTTTTTACAAAAAAAACTGCTAAACACGAGAGGTTTTAGGACAAAGTTTGTGTTTTCCATTGTTTAAGCACAGGTTCGAGCACCGTTTAAGCACCGGCACCGTTTCAAAAGTACCAGTTTTGCACCGGTATCGGATAAAACCTAAAGGATACCCATCCCTACTCAGGAGAGCCCGATTGTTCTTCAGAGTCGTTTGCTGCCGGATACCCGATTGTGTCGCGTGCCTGGTGACACCCGTGATAGAGGACACTGAATGACATCTACCATTCGGAAAGATGATAACAGAGTTCTGGCTGATCAGAGCTGGCTCAGACGTGGCTTATCGAAGAACAAAGAAAGCAGTTACAGCTAGGGATGGGTACCGGTGTCCGGTGCCATGATGGCACCGGTTCTGACATAAACGGTAGTAACCAGACCGAAAAGCAGCGCACATTTCGGTGCTTTATTTCGGTGCTTTTTTTTTCCTGAGCTGTGATACACTTTTGATTCTAGCCAATCATTTTACGTTTCCGAGGATAGTAGGCGGGTCCAGGTACGTACGTTCTTTTAGAGCAGAGTTACAGATTAAAAATGCCCAAGGCAAGCGGTCAAAAGTGGCTGTACTTCACAGCAAAATATGCAAACTTGCTGCGAGACCTCACACCGAGCACATCTACTACGGGTGTGGTGCCTGTTATCAGACCCGGAGTTAGCAACATCCCCAAAAACACGAAGAGGAGAGTCCTGGCCCCTAGCCCTGCCAGTGTAGCAGAAATGATGAGGATGATGATGCAGCAGCAGCCGTTCTTCTCTGCGTGAGTATCTTAATGTTGTTCATGTGTAATTTACGTTGAGTAGGCTAACCACGTTATTATATTAATGCATGTAAGGTGAACTAGCAAACACCGTCGTAGCTACATGCAGCTGTCTTCTTGTTTGATGGCAGATACTCCCTTCACCCTGGCCAAAAAGGCTAAAATGACCAAAGAAAAAGTGGAAAACAGTTAAACACGAGAGGTTTTTGGACAAAGTTTGTGTTTTTTCCATTGTTTAAGCACTGCTTCCAGCCAAGAGTGATACCATATATGCCCCATAGCTGCAGAAAAGGCTAACATTGTTATCTTTTTACAAAAAAACAGCTGAACATGAGAGGTTTTTGGACCAATTTTGTGTTCTCCATTCTTTAAGCACCGGTTTGAGCACCGTTTAAGCACCGGCACCGTTTCAAAAGTACCGGTTTGGCACCGGTATCGGATAAAACCTAAACGATACCCATCCCTAGTTACAGCTATTCAAAACCTGCATTAGGCTGGCCGACATGATTGACGATGTGCAAGCTGTGAGTACTCAGACTGTGTTTATTGAACACCATATGGGAAGATCTTCAAGAAGTTCACGGCTTTGCAATATGGATAAGATCTTGGAGAAGAACAACAGGATCTGAGAGACCTGGTGACCAGTGACAGACATTAGACCAACTGTAAAATTGGAAGCAGTTTCTTCGCACTAACCAAAACAACTACCATCTCCATCTCATGCGGCCCCCCTGGTGCCAGCTGGATGCTCAAGGCAAAAGCTGACGGGAATAACAAAGTTCTTCCTTAGATAACAAGACTATGTTGTGACTCTCTCCCTCCTCCTTCAAGGCTACCTGCGTCGACCGAAGATTGTTGACTTTTTCCCAACCAAGTGAAGGGACACTTTCTCTCGGCTGAACACGGAACAGACACACACACGCACACATATGCATGTACTCTGACACAGACCTACACTTACCCCCCCACCCCCTCCAAATGCCTTCGAAGCTTATGTCTTCTATGTTGTGAGATGTGATGATTTATGTGCTATGTGCTGAGGTGGGCTTTTTTTCTGTTCTCAAACTGATCTCCTCGTTGGAGCTCAGTCTGGGCGGAGTTCTTTTTTCTCCTCGTCTTTCCTCATGTTGTGCATTTTCCATTGTTTTGGTTCCAGGTCGCTGCTCATGTGGCCAGTGCTACCTAGCCTGACCTGTCTTGCCAGTGTGATGTTTGTGTATTGTATGTACGGTCGGCAAGGTATCATCTATCTTAACTGCCCCTTGGGGATAAATAAAGTGTCTCTGACTCTGACTCTGATACTTAAACAGCTCATGAACAAGGTTTACAAGGTTTAGCTATATTTTGATACCAAGATTGTTTACACAGCGTTTGTAATAGCAGAAAGATACTCTATTCATTTTGGCTATTTGATTTTCAAGCAGGAACCCCAGAAACGTGAGTGAAGAGCCAGCAAGTAAATCAGAAGGAGAAGAAGAAAACATCCATTATGGAGAGATCAACTTCTCTGTGCTGAGATATGAAGCATCCACTGACTCAGTGCAGTACAGAGGACAGCAGCAGGATACGGTGTACACACAGGTGAAAGTCAAAAAGCACGAAAACACAGAGTGCGCTCACGGCCAAGAGGAACTCTACACTCAGGTGAAGAAAAAAGTAACATTACATTAACACAGTGTATTAAAGAAACACACACAGAACCTGCACATACAAATGTCATTTTTCCGGTTTAGTGTTGTTCTTAAGTAGTTACTTAAACAAAATCCTGCAGCTTTTTATGTTCAGCTTTAATCTCACACGGCTGTTTTCAGTCGACTTTTTTGTTTAGATTTTTCTTAAATACGTGTAAATAGATGTTGCAGCACTCCAATAAGGAACTACTTTACATGACAGTTGAGACATTTCTGCAGATGACTAGAAACCTCCACTTACAAACTTATTTTAGCTTTCATCGTGCTCATACAGTATTTGCATGTTGTGTGTGCTCTTGAATGATTTATTATTTACATTGTAGACATGTTGAAATGAAAAAGTTTGTCACAGGTAATTTAAATGGCTGCAGGCAAGCTGGCATCAAAACATGTAAATTTGTGTTCAATAAAATATGTTTACTTAATTTAAAGTGTTTTTGTGTGATATTTAATATAATTTGTGCTGAAGGTTTACTCCGTATTTTGTGATGTGAAGTGCTGGATGTCTTTTTCTTATCTAAATAAGTGGGTAAGAAATTTATTTTGTCTTCAAACTCTCCATGTTTCAAATGTTGGACACTGCTAGGTAATTACTTATAACAGTCAAAGAGACCCTGCCTCACCCTATCATGTGACCTATTGAGAACAACTGACGCAAGACTGTCCAGTGCTGGGAGTGAAAACGAGGAGGTTTGGTTGCAGACACACGTAAAGTAATTGGTTGCTGCATATACCTTGGTACACTGAAAGATGAAAGACAAAGATGGAATTTTTGTGGAATGATTTGGTGTGTGTTGTAAAGGAGTGGTGTATCTGCCTTTTGACTAGCAGAGCAATGATTTATGGAAGCTGGGTGTGGTGCCAGTTTTCTGGGTAAAGGATCTGTGGGTTTTATGAATATAACTTACTATAATAACAGTTTATTTACTGATTGAGGGTGGTGATGGTGCTTTTTTGTCTTTGGACATTTCAATGTGGTCACATAGTTTATGCACGAATGTGTTGAGATTTAAACCAACAGCATGGAAAACTTTGATCTGGTTGTAGGTACAGCCTTTTAAGATTTATGACTGTGTCAGAGGTTGTGTGTGGAGGCGAGGAAGAGATGACCCAAACACTGGATTCACGGTGTAGAATGATGATGTTTTACTGGAGCGAGTGAAAGAACAGAGCAGGAACGACAGGACTGACTGACTGAAAGACTGAATGGCTGGCTGAACAACTGACAACATGTGGGAACGACAACATAATATCTACAATGATACGACAAGGAACTGGTGGAAACTGAGGGTTTAAATACACTGGCTACACTGATTTTTGTAATATTGACATTCATATTGTGAGTGGAAATTTTTTTAATGGACATTTTTTGTGTTCAGCAGTGACTCTTTGTTGTCCTTCAGCTTAGCCATGTAGGGCAATCACATCAAAACATCTGGGTGCTGCTCTTGTAAGAGCAGAGTAACTTCTACTATTTTCATCACTTCCTTCAAAATCTGCTTCATGTGATATACATTTCTAATTTTACATTTCTAATTTTACTCGAGTACTGATGCCTAACTTGTTTGCAGAGTATGTACATGTGAACTGAATGTAGTTCCTTCAAAGCTTTGGTGTGATCATTTGCATTGCAATGAAACACATATTGTTTGCTGATCTTAAGTTACAGCTTAGACATTTACTGATGATTAACCCTTTTATGGCCTGGTGCTGTTTGAAATATAATTTCAGTATGTAAAAATTGAGCACTTCGTTAATAAATGTATCTGTCAGGGCTCTGTGTGCGGGCAGGCAGAGATGAGGATCCAAATGCAGGACTCGGAAAACGGAATGTAACTCAAAAACCTCAGCTTTATTGCTGGCAGGAAAACAAACATGAAGTGAGGATGGAACACTGAGACCAAGGACACACACAGGCATAATCTGTGGGTACGACGCGACACTGGGCATGGGAAAACACAGGGCTTAAATACACAGGGTAGTAATGAGGAAATGGGCCACAGAAGGGAGACACAGCTGGGAGAGATCAGGGCTAACGAGACATGGGGAACAAAGCTGCACACACTAACATAAGACAAAGACTTTCACAATAAAACAGGAAACATGAATCACAACTCAGAGACATGGACTCAACACAGAGACAGAAAATGAAACATGGAACTGAACTATACATGAAACCACCATTCCTAAAACATGGATAATAGAAACATGAAACTAATAATAATAATAATAATAATAATAATCACAACAAGAGAATGAGAAACAATCCAAAACACCAAGATAACTGAAACACAAGGTACCAGAGAAACAAAGAATAATCCATGATGCAAAAGTGAACCAAAACATAAAAAACTGAAAATACTGGGTCCAACGGACCCAGAACCGTGACAGTATCAGACTCTCTCAAATGTGTTTGCTCATAGGGGGTTAAATTATTATTTTGGTTTTTCTCTGTATGTATTAATTTAGGATCTACCTTACAATGTAAAGTATCTTGAGGCGACTGTTTTTTGTGATTTGACACTGTATAAATAAAATTGTAATGACTTAATACTGACTACACTGTAAAAAAATATTCCGTAGAAAAACAGAAAATGTCCTGGTAATTTTCTGCCAGTACATTTTCTGTTTTTTTACGGAGGTTTGACGGACCTTTCTGTAAATGATAAAACGGAAAATTCTGTAGATTTACAGTATACTCTCTGTACTATTTATGGACATTTCCTTCAGCTATAAAACAGAAAATTCCGTTTATTCACAGTATATTTTCTGTATCATTAACTGATATTTTCCGTTAATAGAAAAATTGAAATTTCTGTTTATATTACTATTTCCAAGCACTTCTTTTCACTGTAACTCATTAAATATAGTTCTTTATATCCTTAAACGTACATTTCTATGCAATTACAACCTAGTACACCATGTACTCAAAAATTCATAAATTAAAACTTAAATTAATTTGTGCTTCGTACACAACAACATTGGTACAATTAATGTTAAATATTCTTTTATTCTCCTTAACTCAAACACTATACTAAAATATAATGACAGCATCCATCTTGTCATAAAACTACTATACAGCTGATACATGAACAAAATAACTCACAAGCTTTCAAATTTGAGCATTTTTATTTCCTTGAAATCAGGTTGCCCTCATGTAAATGTGTTTATTTACATTCATTCAAGTGGCTACCAAGTGTTTTCTTCAAACAGGACACCTGACAAACATAAAATGTCATATTTAACGACATGTTCACATTTAATAATATCCAGAGTACCTTTGAGTTAGAATCACTGCCTTGTGGTAGTTTTGCCTCAGCCAAATGGTTAAGGTGTGGTTTACATCCATCTCTGTCCACTTATGATACAGTATACACATGTAGTCAGTTATAGCCAAACACCTTTGATTACTGAATTGCATTCACTTCATTAATGAAGTGAATGTAATTCACATTTGTGTGAACATTTGTCTGAGATTAACTCTTTGGGCTCTTTACCTTACAATATAACATACTTGAGTCAAAATTTGTTGACTGTTTAAGTGGTGCCACATGAATACAACTGAACAGATCTAAAGAAGATGTTCCTGAACTTTGGGTTTATTCGAACAGGACTGATGGATAACCACAGGACTTTTCCCCATATGATAACTACAACACATAATAAATTAAGACAGATTACTGTCCCAAACTTAAAGATAAAAGTGTATTTACGGGACTTGTTTTGTCAGTGAGGAGCAAAGTATAATTAGAAGTGCTTGTTCTGATGAAAAGTTAAACTGTAAACAGCAGCATAGTGAATAAGGATCTGTGTCCACGAATCCTCAGCAGTGACAACACTTAAACATCATAGTTCAAAATCCTTAATGCACACCTTTTTCTCCACGGTGTTCAAATTCTCTAAGCTGGTTAAGTAGAGGAAAAAGTCTGACATATTTCATGACCATTAAATGTTAGACAAGGCTCTGAAAACGAGGTTACAGTTACAAACAAAAACCTCTGCTTGTGCGCACAGACCCTAAATCACAACAAATAAGACAATAGTAAGACAAATTACTACAAAGTCTTGTTACCGCTCTTCATATAACAGTGTGACAAAGTCCTGAATGCAGCCTGCATGTTAGTACATCAAGGTCCATCTGAGCTTTAAGTAAAATACACACAGCTTTTCCTTGGATTTTAAGAGTTGCTCAGTTCATACAGGAACTGCAGCAGTCGGAGTTAACGTGTCGCTGTGTTGCTCCTCCGTGTCAGCCATTGAGACTAGTCGCAATTTATTCTGAGGAAAAAAAGAGAAACAACAAGACATTTTTAAAAAGTTTGTATTTTTAATATTTTTTTTTACCTAGAGCATAAACAACATAAACAAAAAAAGGATTAGGGCTGTGCGATATGACGATATATATCAGATTACGATATAAAAATGTCTATCGTTTCATATTATACACTATTCTTTGTTTTGTGGTGTTGCAAAATAAACTGTTTACGGCAATATTTTTTCATGGTTTTGATGGTCACTGTAGTGGCTATATTAATTTCTTAAAGTTCTCTCTTTCTCTTATACTTAAAATAACCACACTATGGACGGACAAGTGACTGTTTTTACGCGTACTTTCGTTACCAACAATGAGGATAAAGCCATCGTGTCGCTCCGCCGTCCGCTTGTTTATTTTCCACATAAACCTTTCACAATAAGCTCAAGTTTCTGTTGAGACTTTTCAAACTAAACTGAAATGATATACATTATTCTCAAACATAAAATTTCAGAATATGCATCAAACAAATGACCTCAAATAAAAACATCAAGTAACTATAAATGGCGCTTACAGTCACCACGCAGATGAAGGCACAGAGAATACCAGCATGGCCAGCAAGGATGAGGCAGAACCAGAAGGACCAGTCAAAAGAAATCAAGGACCTTATTGTTAAATGAGGGGCTACCTCTGTAGCATGGACATGGTTTGGTTATGAAAAGTCTGACACGCCCCAGAAAACTGTACTATGCAAATTATGCAACAAACTGGTCCCACCACCACTCGAACACGACAAACCTCTTTAACCACCTACACAAGAATCACATGAAAGAGTTTCGAGAGAGTTTACGAATGAAAAGCAAAAAAGAGTCGTCAGGTGCTCAAAATAATCCTTAGACTCAAACGTTAGAACAGGCTTTTCCTTGCAGCACGCCGTGTAATAAATACTCAGAAAGAAAATGGCGGCCATTTAAACGTATAGTATAAATGTATAGTTTCATGCATCGGTCAAAACACTCGACTCCAGGTACACGACGCCCAACTGAAAACATTTCACATAAGTCGAGTTGCCCGAGAATCACAGAATTTACAGAAAATGCACTATTTTGTGATATATATCGTTATCAGGAGAGATACGTCTTATATTGGGATATGAGATTTTGGTCATATCACGCAGCCCTACAAAGGATTATAATTCACGTAGAGTTGCATACACATAACACATTCTGTTGCAACAAAAGCAGTTTATAATTAAAGTAACATACATACCTTGAAAAACTAAATCAACCACAACATTAAACTCACCTTGTGTTTGTAGAGAAGGTGATCAGGGTTTTTCTTCATTTCCTGAGACCAGCTGCTCTGGATCATCACCAGCTTGTATCTTCATCTTTTTTTTCCACTCGGGGAAGTCTTTCCTTTTCTTGGCCATTGCTCTGCACTGGAAAACCAAAGTGTGTGATCAAAGGTGAAATAAGGGATATTTTTCCACTGCAGACTTAAAGTGCTTCAAGTAGTGATAGCTGTTGATCCATTTCTCAAATAATCTGTAAGGATCTGGATTTTAAGAAAGATACAAATATCTCTGCTTATATTTGGCTAAAAGCTTGGTATTTCAAAGTCATTATTGGAGTTATTTTACAACGTAAACTTCATTTACTAACAGAGTGAACATAGACCTACTTTTTGTACTGACTTTAAATTAAAATGTTTTTGTACAAAATGTTAACACCTAAGGAACAAAAAACTTTGGTGGCACTTTCAAGCATTACACTAGACAGTTTTTGAAACTCTGATTATGAAGATTTCCATCTTACATCCAAACAGCAGATGGTGGTGGAAATGTTCCTACCATCTCTGGAATATCAGCTAAATGTTTAATTTAAAATGGAAATATGCAAAAAAAAATTTCACGCTAACTAAAGTGTAGCAAATAGTTTAATCAGAGATGAGAGTTTTGTTTGGGAGTAGAAAAACATGTAGTTATTTTGTTTAATACTGATATGTGAATGGATTAATCATTAAATTGTATTTACAGGTGCTTTGGCTGGTTATTCCTATAAAGCAGACCTTTTCATAACTGCACCAAAGCAGCTGGAAGCACTGAGTGGATCTTGTTTGCAAATCCCATGTAGGTTCAGACCCAAAGAAGAACAGAAATTTAACAGCAAAAGTGAAATTTTTGGAGTGTGGATTAAAAATAATCTCGAATTTACCAACGAGGCAAACAATGTGATCTACAACAGTAGTGGAGCAGTTAGCATCTATCCAATGAGTATTACTGGAAACCTGAGTCAGGGAGACTGCACCACTCTGTTTACTAATTTAACCACCACATACACAAACAAATACTTCTTCAGAGTAGAGAGTGAACCATTCAAGGCAACAGCTCAGTGTGATCCTCTTCAAATAACAGTCACAGGTAATAGTATGTTTGTTTGTTTATTTTTTGTTTATGTATCACATTAACATTAAACTAACATTTAGTACTGACTATCTAGTCTTTGATCTATTTTTTGAATATAATCAATATCACTTGAGCAAATCTTGTATTAAAGTTGTAATGATTGTCCCAGCATGACACTCAGAAAATTGTTTCTTATTATAACGTCTGCTCCACTTTTATGTTCAAGACTTGATTACATTTATAAATCAAAGTATGAATTTAGAACAGGTTTTGAAAGCATTAGGTTTGCAGATTTTAATCAGTGGTGCAAAGAGCAGTGTGATTTTATGTGAAACCACAGATTCTCCTTGGAGGCCCAGTATTACAATCTCAGGTGATCTGAAGGAGAAGGAGTCTGTCACTATAACCTGCTCAGCTCTCACTCCCTGTCCACACTCACCTCCTCAACTCACCTGGAATCTCACACAAGACTCTCACAACAAAATAGAGCAAAACACAGATGGAAGCTTTACAACTAAAATCCAGCAGAACATCACTCTGTCAGACACACATGATGGAAAGAAGATCAGCTGCTCTGCCAGATATCCTGTGAACCAAGGAAAAGACACCAAGACAGCAGAGACAGAAGAGACTCTCAGTGTTTCATGTAAGACAATCAGAGTTTGTTGTTGAAGACACACGTGTCAAACTGCAGTCCCGGAGGGCTGGTGTCCTGAAACCTTTCCACGTATCCCTGATGCAACACACCTGAATCAAATTAGTAGGTCATTTGCAAGACTATGTGGAACTTGACTGCATGCTGAGGTGGCGATTCAGCCATTTGTTTCATGTTACAGCAGCACATGAGTGAATGAACATGGTGCAATAAAATTACTTTTAGAAGTACATTTTTCCAAGCACTGACATTTACTTAAATTTACTTGAGTTGGGTTGGGATTGCCACCTCAGCATTCAGTCAAGTCTTGCTAATGACCTACTAATTTTATTCAGGTGTCTAGCAGCAGGGACACGTGTGAAAGTTTGAGGAGACCAACATGATTTATGGGATAATTCTTTCCATTTTTGTTTCTCCAGATGCTCCTAAAGACACCTCAGCATCCAGCAGTCCATCAGGTTTGATGTCAGCAGGCAGCTGGGTGAACCTGACCTGCTCCAGCAGAGCCAAACCTCCAGTCAGCAGCTTCACCTGGTTCAAGAAGAGCAGAGATGGAGCTGTGAAAGTATCTGAAGGAGAGATTTACAGCTTCAATGTAACAGATGGAGGAGTTTATTACTGTGTGGCCACTAATGATCTGGGTAATCAGACATCAGCAGAGATTAACATGACTGTTGGAGGTAAAATTACTCAGCACTAAGTTTCATAAGCTGTTTTTTTAATAATTTTTTGACGTATTCATTAAAATTGAGTTGAGAAGGAAGTACATTTAGCTTGATGAAGTTCAAATCTTGTACTTTATCCTATAATGTGTGGTTGTTCATGCGTTAGACTTGAAAATATTTATTCACCTTAAATAGTCTTACTTATTATTATTATTATTATTATTATTATTGTTATTATTTCTTTAGGTAATGTTGTCTTCTCTTTGTTTATTTATTTTTGTTTTCCCTTATTTTGTTTTTGTTTTTCTTTCTTAACAGAGCTGTTAAGAACCGATGACTTGCTTTTCTCCTCTTTTGTCATGGCTCTGAGTCATTTTGATTTTATTGTGATTTGTGATTTCTTTGTGTTGTCATGTTTTAGTTTTCTATTTTTTAGCTTTGAGGTTATTGGGGTTTTGTGACTTTTGCATTTTTAAGACAGGTTACGATTTAGTGTTACAGTCATCCTAAAGTTTAGTTGACTCTGTGTCTGAAATTTTCGTGTTTGCCTGTGTTATGCTTTCTTGTGTTAGGCTCCTTTTGCGTTTCCATCATCCCTGCATCCTGTGAAAATTTGTCTTCCCGTTCATGTATGTTTCTCTCTCTTGTAGGTGTTCCCCTTTGGGTCTCTCTTTCCTGTTCCCACATACTCCTCATATTTCATGTCTCCCCTGTCTCCTGCATCATATTTCTTCTCCCCAGCCCATCTTGTCTCTCTCTCCCTCAGTGTCACTCACTCCCTTCCTCTCTCTCTCTCTCAGACACACACACTCCTTGTGTCTTGTCTTTCTTAATTGTTTCCATGTTTCCCTCTTTCCCCAGTCTGTCTCGTTCCCCTGTGTGTTCCTTCCTCCTGGCCCGGTGTCTGGCCACGTGTTTTAAGTCTGCACCTTAGTGTTTCCTGTTTTACTTTGACAGGGTCGTGTTCCCTGTTTGTTTCCTTTTCCCTCATCACCCTCTTTTGTTTTTATGTTGTAAGTTGTCACTCATTCTTGTCTTTCCTTGTCTCTCCAGGTTTCATAGTTTTCTAGGTTCCTTGTAGTTTTCCAGTTTAGGTTACTTTTGTGTTCTAGTTTTCTCTTTAGTTTGTGTTCTTGTGTTAAGCCTAAATAAACGTCTCACCCTTGGTTAAATTTAAGTTTGTTTCCACACCTCGTTTTGTCTATATTTGGGTTCCCATCAAAAGCAACACAGTCTATAGGCACAGACCTTGGCGCCCTTTTCTTCTTGACTGGATGCTTTTACTTATTTCTCAGTTACATTGCTACACTGAAATTTAAAGAGGATGTGAAAAAACTTTAGCAATGGCTGTCTTTCTGTGTCTAGATTATTATACAATGTTTGACTCACATGGTGTTTCATATTTATCTTGTACCAGGAGAGCAGAATGATCACTTCACACTGGGACTAGTTCTTGGAGGAATCACTGGGACCATCTTACTAATTTTCTTGACAATATTTCTTTGGCAAGTATCACACATGACAGTAGGAAACATGATATTTTGTCACTCATATTTTAGCTGCACAATAAAATGTGTTTTTTCTCCCACCAAGCTTAGATTTACTCATACATATATTTAGTATAAAAATATTTTATTTTATTGCCTCTTATGTCCAGGTGCTTAAAGTCAATGCGTCAAACTATACAACACACTCAGGTAAGAAGATACTAAATTTGTTCAATCACTTTACCTGCCTGTTTCCATGAATATTTACTTCTGTATTTCTATAACAGCCACAGTCACATGATTTCAAATTTCTAAAAACATGATTAAGAATGGACTCAACAGGTCTACATCACAGATTTTATTTGTTTTTTTTAATAGATTCAACCTCATGAAGAGCAGGTTGTTGAAGGGCCAGCAAATAACACAGAAAAAGAGGAAGAAAACATCCATTATGGAGAGGTCAGCTTCTCTAAGCTGGGATATGAAGCATCCTCTGACTCAATGCAGGACAGAGGGCAGCAGCAGGGTACGGTGTACGCACAGGTGAAAGTCAACAAGCCAGAAAACAGCTTAACACAGAGAGTTAATGGCCAAGAGGAACTCTACGCTGAGGTGAAGAAAAAATGAGAAGTATCTGTTTACAGTCTATGAAGAATAAAATATAAATGTGGAGCATTTACATGAAAATATGTCGTTGTGACTGCCAACAGTTCCTTTTCCAACTTACCAAGAATTTCTTTAATAGGTCATCTGGCTTTTCCTTTAAGTAGACACAGACAGCTTTTAGAATGCAAACATCAATGCTAGTATTCTGGTGGAGAAAAGAACTCAATGTGATTTTTAACTCTCTCCTTCACTTGCTCCAACTTTCTGAATGAAGTGGGATGGCAGCTCCATGAGCATGTTGAATATCTGTCTTTAGTTTTGATGTCACTATCTTGTGGCAGCAAGTTGCATTTAAAAAAAAACCAAAACGTAATATAATTAGTAAGTTGTAATTATTCTGCAGAAACATGCTGTCGATGAGTGTTAAACAGACTATGCAACTATTGAAGGTGAACAGATTTTAAACACTGTATAATCTCTTAAATGTCCACCATCATATTCTACAAATCCTATTTGTGTGGTGGCTTTTTTGTAAGTAATACATATCTCTTAATAAATACAACAATAAAAAGGTGACTTCTATGGGTTTTTTAAACAATCTTTTGAATGAATAAAACAAATTAAAGTGTTCTGTCCTGAAGTTTTGAATTGTCCAGCCTGAATTCTCCTTCAAAGTTTGTCATAACCCAAACAGGTGTACTGTAGGGTAATTGTCAGTGTGCAGACCCTTTTACCTACCTACTATCCAGGTAGAGCTCTCCACTGTAGTATGGTGGAGATTTGCGTCTGGTAATCTGGTGAGTAGTCATGAAAGAGCGATAAAAGGTGAGACAAGGTAGTTTGCTATTAAAGTGTACAAAACACAGTGGTGGCCTGCACTAACTGTAGTTAGCTGAGAATCTGGCAAAGAGTGGTTGAGTGTGGTGGCCCTTAAAGTCCACAGCTTAATTACCCACAGGTGAGAGCAATGAGCAGGAACACAGTGGCTCCTCCGAGAGGTTGAACTGCCGGCTCAAGAGATACACACTGGCACTCACCCAGACCATGACAGAAAGAATATCAGCTGCTCTATCAGATATTCTGTGAACCAAGGAAAAGTCAGCAAGACAGCAGAAACAGAAGAGACTCTCAGTCTTTAAAGCAGTTGTTTTTTGATGTGAGGCACAGAGCGACGTCGTAAGCCCTACAATAAATTGGGGTTTTCACCCTCAGGATGCCAACATCCTGGCACCTCCAGCAATATCTCCTCAGATCTGTTGCATTGCTGCCAAAATAACATGGCATGCAGGTGAGGTTAGACAATGGTGTTGGTGGTGGTAATGCTGAGGCAGGAGCAAAGTCCAGCATCTCCTTGGCAAGCTGCTCCCGAAACATTTTTTGTGTCATTGGCTCCTTACCTTGCCTCTTGCATAACTCCATATGCAAAAGAAAACTATTAACAACAGCAATGTCTAAGAAATGATAAAACAAAGTTTTATACCATTTCATAGTTATATGAAGGACAGTGTAATAACCAATCAGAGCATCGGACAAATCAACACCACCCATGTTCTTGTTGTAGTCTACAACACAATCTGGAACAGGTACAGCCTTTGTTGTCCAACCTGCAGCCTCCTTCACTTTTTGCTTCACAGTCTTCCCGCTGAAGGCCTTGTGCACTGTGGAGCACATTGTGACCTCTCGAGTGTCAGTCCACTTCACAAACACCAGTTCGCCTTTCCTTATCCAGCGCACATCTCCCCTCTCAGCCTTCTTAGGAAAGTAATTTTGCGCGTGCGCGGAAAGCCTGTCTGTTTTTTTCTAATAGTGCCAAAACAGCCATTTTTTTCTTTATATAGGTCACTGAAGAGTGTAGGCTTGTGTAAAAATTGTCCACATACAAAATGTAGCCCTGCCCAAGCAATGACAGATGTAAAAGATCCATAACAGCTGAGTAGCTAAGCCCATATGTTGTGCTGACCTCACTCTTACTGGTGTAGCCAGTGTCTGAATCAGCCAAGACAAACAGTTTATATCCCCACTTTGTGGGTTTGTCCTTCATAAACTGTTTCATTGATATCCTACCCTTATATGCCACCATTCTCTCATCGATGCAAATGTTTTTATATGGCTGGAAAAGGGCTTTAAAGGCAGTCACAATCTGGTTGTAGAGTGGCTTTATTTTGGAAAGCCGGTCGTACTCTGGGGTGTTTCTTTTATTTTAATTGTCCTCGTCATCTTTTGGGCTGCTAAGGTGCAATGACCACAAGATGGCTTCAAATGGTTTCTTGACATAGTGTCACGAGGGAAGTGAAAGTTATAAGGCCAAGTTATAAGGCCATTTTTTTCTCCAATAGTCAGCTCTGTGGTGTACACTTACAAGGCCTATGTAAAGAAGAATTGCCAAGAAGATGTAAACTTGCTTCACCGTGAGAGCAGTCCATGGAAACTTGCTGCCAGCCCTCCTTTTCTTTGCAGCATTGGCATTTGTGTTCTCAATAATTGTTCTGACAACGTTCTCACAAAAGAATAGCTGGAACAGCGACAGAGGAGACCATGCTGTTGTGGTGTTAAATGTAGGGCCTGGGTCCCTTGCTGGCTTAAACCTGAAGGGGTTAGGATTTCTGTCTTCCTCATTCCTGTCTTTCCACAGTTCTTCCACCCCAGGAGACCCATTTTCCTTGAACTTTGGTTTAGCCTTTCCAGTTTTCACCTTTTTGGCCTGCTTGGGTGTGAGAGCTGCTGCATGTCGCCATGTAGAGGATGAGGGCCGTCGGGGCTCATAGTCTTCATCCTCAATAAAAAAATAAAATAAAATAAAATCAATGAGAAGAAGGTTTTAAAAATGTGTGTGCATATAATAAATACAATTATAACATATAATAACTCAAAGCATGCTTAGTCATCCAGGTATGGTTGTGTTTTCAATGGGAGAAAGTTTCATCATTTATCCAAGTGACTTTGTCAGTCTCAGATCACAAACAGCACCACCAACAGTGGGATGTGGTCAGTTTCATTGGCATTGTTGACTCCATACCGTCAATATGCAAAGCTGAGACTGAGGAAGTCATCTAGATGAGTGCTGAAATTTTATAACAAAAAGAACGCAACGACGAGCAGAGAAAGAAACAGACACTAAATATGAGAAGGGAACAGGGCAAAGAGGAAACCCCGGGAAACACAGCGGATGCTAATCACACAGGCGAGACGGTAGTGATGGGATTTCCGGCTCTTTTTAGAGAACCGGCTCTTTCGACTTGGCTCACTAAAAAGAGCCGGCTCTTTCGGCTCCGAACCGGCTCTTCATGTTGTTTTGTTGCTTTAATTAATTTATTATTAACAATAATATAAAATTATGCACAAAAGGAATTACTAATGTAAAAAAAAGTGGTTTTATTTATATATGTTTATATATAAATATATGCGGTGGCCCCTAGAGACAAAACACGTAAAAACTCCAAAGCACATTCCCAGAGTTAACTGAACTTCCAAAACAGAGCTACCTAGATCACTTAAATTACACAATTGAAAGCATATGTGTATTTATACACAAGCACTCGTATATATTCAAATAATAATAAAAAAATGTTCATTTGTCGTTGGTACTTGCAGGCTTGTGTAGCCACTAGGTAACAAAAGCTCAACACTGCGGCTAGCATTCTGGAGCACTTCTGTTGTGTTTCGTACGTGCTTCAGAGTTTGTACGTGTTTTGGAGTTTTTACGTGCTTTGTCTTTAGGGGCCACCGTAAATATACTTTTATTTATTCACTCCACATAAAATGTAATAAATATTCATATAATACAAAAACCAACTATTCACAGTTCAACTTTTAACTATTTAAATGTTCAGCATTTTCCTTTTAAACCAATTTAAAGTGAAACAACTCAAAACACTGCAAACCGCAGCACAATTAAATATAAATTAGACGTTGTTGTCCCTGGCTCTCTCTCTCCCGCTCTGTTCCTGTGCTACTGCCAGTGTGACTACCGCCCCTCCCCCCTCTGCCCAGCGCAAAGCACAAAGCTCACATGCGGAGTGAAGCGGAAAAAAGTGTGAGAGAGGGTGAGATAAAGGGAAGAAAAAAAAACCAAAAACCCACGGCTTGCGATAAGGAGCCGGCTCTAAGAGCCATTTTGTTCGTGACTGACACATCACTACTGTGCAGTATGTGGCGAAGGCATGCGACAGCCAGTGAGCGAAAGGCAGAGGGAGCTGTGCTGCTGCTGGAATAGGGCTTTGGAGTTGACGTCACGCCGCAATGCATTATGGGAGCGCAGCGCCATTTTCGGGGTCTACGAATCAAACCAAACACACTGTGTTGGAACGACGACTACAAGAAAGATGCTTAAAAGCAGCTCAAAAGAGAATGAACTGTATAGAGACCGATTTCATTCAGAGGCGAAGCAGCGTACTTGCAGAAAATAGCGTGCATTGGAAATGTGGACCCGTATGAAATACGGCCGTGGAGTAGAAACCCTGAAGACCAACCGCTACTGACGTAGCCTGACATATTTTCGTACCTTATCTGTGGAATCAGCGCGTACAAGTCGTCATTCAAGCAAAGGTAAGTCAGCTCGAGTACTGCGAGTGAAATGCGTTTGATTTCCCTGCAAACATTCAAATTAGTGCAGCATAAATTCATTCATGAGGGGAAATTACAGTGACAACATGTGGAGGCTGTTAGGTGGATAACATAGCGAGTTCAGTGCATTGATGTGACATTCTCCTGAAGGATTGTTATTCTTTATGGTTAAAGAAATTGCACTAATTTATTCATATTTATTATAAATAATCCTAATTACACATCTTGCTTACATGTTTGTATCCTGTGTCACTAAAAATACATTTTATTTTAGTTTTATATATTGATCAATGACCTGCAGAATCTCCTTATCATATTAAGGGATTCATAATTGTCACTTTATGCTTTCTCCATCTCTACAGTGATGACATCCTTGCATTACCGGTACATACTTTAGGTTCATTTTCTGCAGGCAGATTTACACTATAACATGCAGCGTTCTATAGATGGACACATAAAGAAATGAAAAATTACATGTATGTGCTAACTTTCTAAACACTTTGTTACATTTATGATAAAGTAGATAAAACACATTTACGTCGGCCTTGGCTCATAGTTCTTGTCTTTAAATGAACTTTGTCTGTGTGTGTTTCAGGTCCTGCACTCTCAAAGACTGAATGAACCAGCATTGCAGCCATGGGTCACTGTGAGCATCACAGGGAAGGTTGAAGCCGCCCACTGCAGCTGTAAGGCCGGAGTCGCAGAGACCTGCAGCCATGTCGCTGCTCTTCTGTTTAATGTAGAAGCAGCAGTGTTGATCTGTGGCACGAGGACTGTTACAGATGAACCTGCATACTGGGTTTTGCTGGGTAATATGACCAAAATACAGCCAGAGGTTGGCCATAAGATAGACTTCTCCTCTTCAGCTGCCCAAAAAAAGGCTCTTGATCAAAACATAAACAGACCATCTGTAGTGACAGGTAAAAGGAGCCGTCCTCAAAACAGAAAAATCCCACTTGCTACTTTGGAGGAGTTGTCACTGCTATTGGATACTTTGCTGGAACACAGTAAAGCTGTGGGTTGTGGGAATGACCCATAATGTTTT